GTCCAGACTTTCTTCTTCTCTACCTCCATCTTCTGCAGTGATGTTGGCACTTTTGGATTGGTTTAGAGTAGAAGCTCACTGTCTAACATAGGTGATAGGTATTGGAAAGTAATTGTAAACATGTTATATGTAGTTTGTAGTATAAAGAGCTAACACTGCCCCAGGGGCAGGCAGAGTGCCTCTCTCTGTCCTGCTGAGCGAACCTCGGCTGGACAGGAGAAAAATTTTATAGATAAGATCCAATAAACAACTCTGAGACCGAGAACTGAAGAGCTGTGAGTCATTCTCCGAACGTGCGGGCTGAAACAGAGACTGTTCACGTGTCTCGGGGCTACAGTAAACTGCAGCCTCCCGAGAATGAGGTCCTGGGATGAGCTCAGGGGAGTTCCTAAGGAATCCAGCCTTTTTCCATTATGGAGTTGTGGTTTTACTATCCCTCCATGCTTCATAAACCCATGGGAGGGGAAAACCTGGTCAACACAGGCACATCTCCAAGGCCTGGGCTGGCTCCTGAGGATCACCCTGCATTGAACACACAATTATCTTGTAAGAAAAGAGCAAACACGACACTGGCATGCTGAGAGGGCACTGAATCACCTGCTCTCCAACAAATGTAAATGGTTTAGTTTGTGGTTTTTAATCAATCCTGACAGCAGATGCCTTGTACAAAGTTATGCCTCACTATTTACTGCCTCTCTGGCAGGTTTAAAAGGATGCTTTTCCCTTTAGAAGCTAATGTACTCTAAGAGGCAGAAAGCAAGAACATTCCCCAATGAAAGATTGAAGTCACTGCACTAACAATTAGGGAGAAATAACATGAAAAGCTGAAGACAGCTGGAGACAGCTGGAGAAGACTGACCAGTCTCATGCAGCAGGGAAACCATCTGTGAAACCATCCACAGCCCTTTCAAACACAATCATAGGCTGGTCCTAATTGTACTTCAACCCCATGTAATCACTTGTGCCAGTAATTAATTGGGATACAAATAGCAGATGCACTAAACCATGAAGAGTTACAAGAAAAAGATAAATTGCTTGCAAGACTTGCATTGCTGAAGTATAAACTCACTAGAGGGTTTTTATCATGGAACCAGGCAGAGGGATTAGGATCAAGTCTGACATTTGGCTAATCAGCCACTGCCATCAGATTTAGAGTCTCTGAAATATTGTGCAGGAAACCAGAGTGTGCCCAGGCTGCCATGTTTCTCTGACTGTGTTTGGCTGGGTGTAGGTACCTGATGGAAAGACTCAGTCTCCATGGGACTGCAAATCAGCAAACCCACCCTTAGCTCATCCCGGGATGATCAGCCCAGCCCACTGCTCTTTGAGAACACTGGGAAACTTCCTTCCATGGAGGTGCACTTCATTACCCTCCAGACAATCCAGGGGAAATCAAAGGTTTGTTCCCAATGAAATGGAAGCATTAAATGTCAGTTCTATTTCTTCCTGCAGATATTCCCACCCTCAAGGCAATCTGTGGAATCCCTCTCATAAAAGCAGGGAGGGATTTATGGAGAGGCATCAGGGAGGGAGGCAAGAAGATGACACTTGAAGACAATCTCTAATTCCCTTCTGGAGTCAGGCAGGGAAGGACAGGGGGTATGTTCACACCCAGCTCCCTCTGAAAACCTGGGCATCTGTGAAAGTGGAGCTCTGCCTGCAGAGTCAGGACAGCACAGCATCTCTGCTCCTTGACAGGGATTTCCAGAGGAGTCATTCTAGTTCTGTCCTGTGTTGAAGGCCAAGGTGGATCTGCCATCCTGGATGAGGCACAGCACAGAGAAGGTGATTCCACAGCACAGCAACTGCACCCCAGCCATGCAGAGGCAGCAGGAGACCAGGAGGGCAGAGCTCAGGGAGCTGCACTGGGAGCTGAACATGCCCTGCATAGGAAGCTCTGCTCTGTGACAGGACAGAGCCACTTGTGACAGTTGTTCACAGGGGTTTTCAGGATGAGGGAAGAGACGTAGATCTGACTCCATGTTTCAGAAGGCTTGATTTATCATTTTATGAGATATATATATTACATTATAACTATAGTGAAAAGAATAGAAGGAAAAGTTTCATCTCAGAAGGCTAGCTAAGCTAAGAATAGAAAGGAATGAATGATAACAAAAGCAGCTGGCTTGGACAGAGAGAGAGAGACAGCTCTGCTGTGACTGGTTACTGAATCCAAACATCCACATGAGACCAGTCACAGATGCACCTGTTGCATTCCACAGCAGCAGACAACCATTGTCATTTTGTTCCTGAGGATTCTCAGCTTCTCAGGAGGAGATATCCTAAGAAAGGATTTTTCATAAAAAGATGTCTGCGACAGCCGCTGTCCTGTGACAGCAGTCCCCTCTGAAGTGTCCTCACCAAAGCATCCCCAGCTGGGACCCCCTTGGTGGGGCAGCTCCTGTCAGCACCAGGGATGCTTTGTCACAGTCCCTTGCCCTGCCACCCACCTCATACACACCATTCTCAGCTGTGCATCTGTTTATTCACAATATTCCAGGAGGCTTCACGTTTAAATGAGTTCATACAAGGATTACCTAAACCTTTTTCTCATAAATAAACAAGCAGCATTCACAAAATAGTCATATTTGTGAATTTTAAAAGGTTTAAAAGACGCTGTTCCTGTCTCCCTGTGCTCAGAACTTCTTATAAAAGCTTGAATAAAAGGTTTGTAACATGAGTCAGGATTCTTACCCTGCTGCTTGGCAAAGGCCAACTAGAACAAATATAAAAGGCAAACTCAAAAAATAAATAAACTTGAAAGCAAAACCATAGAAGCAAATATTTGTGCTCAAAGCCATCCCTGCTGCCAAGGACTGACTTGCATTGTGCTTTTCCAAAATATCCCTGATGTGACACTGGCATTCCAGCCCCATCAACAAGGACTTCAGGGAACAGGGCTGCATTGTCTGTCATCTGCCCAGCATGTTCTCATGTGCTCAACAACTGCACATTGAGAGCAGGAAGATGCCTGCCAGCTTCTCAACACCCCAGGGAAGCAGGAAGAAGTCCACTTATTCATCTAAATGAATTCCTTCTTTATCAAGAAAAATACCTTCCACTTCAATTACTGAAATAAAATATTGAAAGGAAAACTTTTTATTCCCTGGAAGTTAACTCAGGAAAAAGCCACCAAGGAAATCCACTATTACCACGCTAGGTCTGAGCTTGCCTGTTCCTGCTCATATGAAGGGCAGTGGAACCCAGGATAAGCTGGAAACCAGCTCAGAAGCAGCACTGCAGAAATATATTATGCACAGATGACAGCCAGCTTCCTTTAGCATGGCAACTTTCTCTCCCTCACAATGAGTGGATTCTTTTCAGCTCAAAATAGATTGCACATTTTATTTCCAAAGAATGTACTGGGACAGTTTGCAGCTCCCTGAAGACAGAGCTGGGGCCTGTTGAGAATATGGAAGGGAACAGGCTGACATTTAAGTGTTTAAAAGGAATTGCTTTTCATCTGGCTACACCCTTCTAAGGCATTTCAGCACTTAGGGCCTCATCTTGCCAAGCCTCAGCTTTATGGATTTATGAATTGCCAGCTGTCCCACTGCAGTCACTGGGACAATTCACAAAACTGTTCAGACTAGAGCCTTTACTTGGACATTGAAATTCAGCAGTACCCAGCAGCTTGTAAGTGAATTCACATCAGCCTGAATGTGTGCATATTGCTGCTCAAACAGCCTTTTCCCCAAGAAACACTTCCTATGAGGTGTCAATCTCCACAGAAGGGACGGGAATCAAAGCTCAAGAAATGAATTGGCCAAGGCAGTCAAATGCTGTTTACATCAATTTTTATTAGAGATTTTGACATCTGGTGATTATTTCCCAACAAAAGGTTGATTGCCCCAGACTAATTGGACCAAAAGCCTTGACAAATGTGAACACAGCAGCAATGTGAAGCTGAAGGGCAATTTGTTCTTCATCTACCACTGCTCCAGCAGGGACCCAAAGCAACCACAGCTCCTGCTGGAAGTTTAACACACTGACAGTCCTCTTTGGAGAGATGATGTGTGCACAGCTTCAGTCTCACTGTGCAGGAGGGATCTGCATACTGCAGACAGCTCCAGGAGACCCACACAGGTACCAGACTGAAGGACTGGGAATACCCAGAACCCCCAGGAGCTACAGCCAGAGCAGCATCACCTGCACACCCAGGCAGTTCATGGGATTCCAGAGTTTTCCACAGCTGGAGAACTTTGATGAACTCAAACACTTTTAAACACTGCACAGATGAAGTTCCCTCACAGACACACACACACCACACCTCCCAGGTGCCAGCAGTACTATTAATGCTGCTTTTCTGTGTGAAACCCTGAGTTTCTGGAAATTTTCACAAAAAGGTGTTAGCTCTACCTACCTTGAGTGGATAGTTACATCCTACCAGGATGAAAGCTGCTGGACCCAGTTCCAGAGAGAGAATTCCATGTTTTGATCAGGTGAGATGTTACAAAACCAGAGCCACTCACCATTGGCACCTTCAAACCAATGTTCACTGAGGTTTCAGACATCTTTCAAGGAGAGAACACCATCCCTACTGAAGAGCAGCTGTTTAAGGTGGGTTTGTATCAAATTAATGCTCAAGTTTCTTACAACTTAAGGAAGCAAATGAAAAACAAAGAAGTATCTACAAAATATTGACAAGGATGCATTCCAAAACCAACCATATTGAGGAATCAGCAAAAGTAGATAAAACAGCAGAGGAGGAGAGTTGCTTCTTGAGTTTTATTTCATCTTTTGCACCTGCCCAAAATGCTCCATTTCCTGGTAGCAACTCATTTCTCAAAACATAGTTTGGAGAAAGCACAGCACTGTCACTACATTTCTCTTCACAGAGAAAAGCAAGGCACAATTCTTCCCAGGAATATTTCTGGGTTTCACATTCTCTGAATCCCAGAGAAAGGAAACACAATTCTTATAATTTGCTGTGCCTGTGTTTGTGCCAAAGCAGAATGCAGTATGGAGATTGTTTAGCCACAGTGATGGGGTTTTGTTTCCTTGGCTTGTCAGGGCCAGGTGTGTGTGTGTGTGTGTGTGTGTCAGGGCTGTTGGTGACAGTCACAAGATTCTGTGTGTCCAGGGTTGAGTGCTTGGCAGGTTCAGTTTTAGATGTATACAAAGATATAGTATAATTAATTAATTAGCCTTCTGATACCAATGGAGTCAGATGCATCATTCCTCCTCCATCAGGGCCCTCACAACATTGCTGTACTCCTGCAGGCACAGTGCCTCAGACAAAGCAGAATTTTCCAAGATCCATCAAGGTGTTTAAAAAAGAAAAAAACTCCATAAAAAATAACCCAGGTCTGTTTCCCTGTCTACCCATTATGAACAATATGGAGATTGTTTACCCACAGTGATGGTGTTTTGGTTCCTTGGCCTGTCAGGGCCAAGTGTGTAGCCCCACATTTCTCCTCAAAGAGAAAAAGCAAGGCACAATTCTTCCCAAAAACAATTCTTATAATTTGCTGTGCCTGTGTTTGTGTCAAAGCAGAATGCAATGTGGAGATTGTTTACCCACAGTGAGGGTGTTTTGTTTCCTTGCCCTGTCAGGGCCAGGTGTGTGTGTCAGGGCTGTTGGGTGACAGTCACGAGATTCTGGGCAGTTCTGTGCATTTGAGTGCTTGGCAGACTCAGTTTAGATGTAATGTAATATAGTGTAATATAGTATAATAAAGTAATTAATGAGCCCTCTGATATCAGTGGAGTCAGATGCATCATTCTCTCCCCTCATGGGGGCTGCCTGCAAATTCCATGCAGCAGAGTGCCCCAGACAGCCCAAGCCCGTTTGCCATCACTGAAATTGTTTTACCCCAGTCTCAATGAGGAGAACTCATTCCTCATTCCTCTCAATGAGGAAAGCCCAGGCTGTCAGCAAGCACTAAAAGGGAAAGGCCAGTGCCTGAGCAAGGCTGTTCCTCCAAGAACACAGCACAGTCAGGCACCAAGCAGAGATGTCAGAGTGCTGATTTACAGCACACTGCATGATGAAACACAGGCTCTGCAGAAATCCACAGCAGCACAACCAAAAGACATCTAAATCCCACTGGGTTTATTGTGCTTCCTTTTTTAAACTCACTGGCTGCAAGAGTTACTGTTAGATTTAAGATTTCCTTTTTGAAGGCAAACTAAAGAAATAAAAATGTGACAGAGGGATGAAAGGGTTTCACTGCAGGCAACATTTAAGTAGTGTGAAGTGTTCAAAGAAAGATCAGTCACAGTATTTAGTCTGTGATCAATTTATAGAATACAGATTGCATTTGAGATTGGACAGGATTATACTTTTGACTCTGAAAAAAACCACTAAAAACTCACCTGTTCCTTTCATTCTGGGATTCAGTTTGGTCACTGAAGGGTAAGAATGAAACATTTTTATGTTCTGAAAAGCTTGTGTCAAAATCTGAACAGTATTTCAACAGCCTGGTTCATACACAGTGTACCTCTAAGCACCAGTAAGTGCATTAGCTTCTGCAAGAAAAGAAAATTCTACTGTTTCTTTTTCCATCAAGTACAATTTCAAGAATGAAATTATATTGTTAAATCCAAGCATTCTCCTAATCTGGGGTCAGAGCATTTCTTTGCTTAACATGTCAAGGCGAAGTTACTTTTTCTTTTTTTCTGTGTTCCTTAAATTAAAAGTGAAGAACTGATGGAAGCTCTCTGTCTTGAAACAAAAGACAACCCATGCCCTTCTCAGTGTGAACTGGACTATTCAGAACAAGGAACCATCTGATCCCAAAACAATCCTTTACTGTGGGATGAACAAAACTTTCCTGGGCAGCATGTGTCCTACTGCATATCTTTTATGTAATATCCAAAAGCAACAATGAATTATTTAATTCCAAAGTAATCACTCTAAGGGAGCTCAGAAGACAGCAATTTCTACTTTTATAAGTCAGAGAGATGTGTGTTTCTTCAGTATTTTATTCAATAAGCACATCAGCAAATGAAATTTCCAGGAAAATCTACACACAGCTCCCTAGAAATAACAGTGCACACTTCCCTCCTCAGTTATCTTTACCCATTTGGTTTTCATATTCCCCAAGCAGCTTATCCAGGCTTTTTTCCCCCTCTGTGAGTTTCCCATTTTAATTAATTTAATAAATAATGGACTGCAGGGGTGATCTTGGAGAAAACTCCACATCTCAGCTCTGCTGCACACCCAAGTTCACTGAATGTCATCGTCATCAAAGAGATCTTCAAAATCTAGTCAGGAAAACAAGACAAAAATGAACCTCAGAAGTTTCAGTGTTACAAATGCACATGCAAGTACAGTAGTTTGTTCCTTGGATTCAGAAATAAAGGTGAATTCAGAGAATGAGAGTTACTGCGCCATCAGTTATTAGAAATGTAGCATCAGGGTGATGATTTTGCAGACTAATGAACCGGGAGTTGTGTTAAAAAGCCCCTCCTCAGAAACATTTAATTGCTCAAAAACACTTAATTGTTTTGTGTTAAAAACCCCTTCCTCAAAACCATTTAATTGCTTTAAATAACATTTTTGTCCCAGAACACATGTCCCAGTAGTGAAATGGTTCCAGTCACATTTGGAATTACTCCTAACTACTCGGCCTTGCATCTTCTTTGTGTGCTGCTGAATGAACACAGCCTTTATTCTTACAGAAGCCAATTTACAGGAACATACAATGAACTGTGGGTGAATCCTCATTTAGAAGAGCCCTAAATACCTATGGAACACAATTTCACAGTGGGATGGTAGAAACAGATGGAAACAGCTACTCCTGGATATGCTGGCTCCAACAGACAGCTGAGAGCAGAACTGCCTTCCACTCCTGTGTCCTGAGCCTTGAGCAAAATGAGAAATGTACTTTATTTTGGAATCAACACCAGCTTGTGATACTAACACTGCCGCTGCAAGATTTAATAACATATAAAACATTTACTAACATGTAAAACTCACTGGTGCAATATCTAAATGCGCTTCTTCAGACGCATAAAAACACCTTTAGGCACCAGGTGCAGCGCAGTGCTGTATATCCCAACCCTATGTGGATATGTAGCTGTTCTCTCTCAAAGCAGTTGTAAATACTTGCACAGAGGCTGAGAGAGATGGGATTGTTCAGCCTGGAAAAGAGAAGCTTCTGGGTGGCCTTTCAGCACCTGAGGAGCCTCCAAGGAATGACAGACTATTGACACAGGCTGCAGTAGGGAATGGCTTTAAACTGACAGCATGAAGGTTCAGGGATTTGATAAAAAAATCTTCCCTGTGAGGGGCGGTGAGGCACGAATTGTCCAGAGAACCCCACATTTTTACTCGGATTTACACTGTTTAACATAAGCTTCCTTGTAGCCTAACACGCTGAACTCCCCGGAGAGGAAAGCCCCGCTCCCAGAGATGCGGTCAGGCCCAGCTTCAGCGAGCACAAGCAGCAGAGCCAGGGCAGAGAAG